CCCCAAACACACACACACACACATTTTCTAAATTGGTATCTTCAACTAGGTTCCATTTCTTTATGTTTTCACTAGCTTAGAACCTGTTCGATTCGAATACCTTTAGAATGACTGTGTCCTCCAAACTTGTGTTCAGATAACAAATAAAATAATACATGCGTGAATGCTTTGAATAGGTTAATACACAGTTGTTTTTACTTTCTTTGATACATAAGTACTAGTATTTATGGGAGGGGAGGTTTTTTATATTTAAACTTGTCTATTTTATTGAATTTAGAAGTATTCTATATTTTTCTGGAAAATATGAAAAGAAGATAGATGAGAAAAACTTAGCAAAGAAAAATATCTGGTGTTACATATTTAAGCACTTAAGCATGTGTTTTTATTTTTATAATTTATTTCCTTGTCTATTCTATACTCGTTCTTGTTTCCCTCTAGGCTGATTTTCGTCTCATAAATGAGCTCTTTCTTGATCCTTTTTAGGCTGTAATTTTCATGAAATTCAAAATGTGACTAGGTTCGGCCTACTTCAAGAATTGAAGGGTTTATTTGGCTTTTGAAAGCTTTTTTTTTTCCAAGTCAAAATATGAATATTCTACCCTTGTCCCAAACAAACTTTCACGTCTAACTTGGCATGAAAATTAAGGGACAGTTGAAGTTGTCTATAGCTTAGTTCTAAGTGAAAAGCTGATGTTGGGCATATAAAGAGAAATAGGTCGATTAAGTGGTAAAAAGTTCTGCCTCGTTATTGTTTATTGCTATAGGATAATCAATAGAAGTTTCTTTTCTGGAGACTGGAAATTGTTTTGACATGTTCTAACACAATCTGGGCATTCAATTTGGTATTGAGGGAGTAATTGTTTATTAATAAAATAAAAAGTAAATTTTATGAGTGCAACATAAATGTTGGGGGAAGGGGGGAATTAATAAAGATAGAAATAAGTTACAGGGGGCTAAGTGACGAATTACTGAAAGCTCAATTGCTTGTAGCCCCTTTCCCTTTCACTCCAGAAGCGAATCATAACCTTGCATCTCAACTAATGATATGGAAAGTTAATCTATTACTTGATATAGGGTTTTCACATGCTACATTTTTAACCTGCTTTGGTTATGAACTATAGGGACAAAGTCATGGGTAAAATTTCAGAAGATTTATGGAATACCATCAGAACTGGTGACGGCATTCAAACTGAGATAACCCAAACTGTTCAATCAGTTTACAATAAGTTATTGTACCCACAACTAAATGAAGCTGGTGAATCATCCTCTAATTCAGAATTGCAGCCTGCTCCGAATGGCATTGAAACTAACGGACATAGTGCTGCGTCAGACAGTGTTATTGATGCCACAGTTTCTGTTGATGCGGAGCCAAATGAACCTCCTGGTTTTGCCCGATTAGGTTCAGACCGGAACAGCAAAAGTAACTGTTCAAATCAGATCAACAAAAGTAACCATAAGGAATCACCCAAAGAGAAGTCAGGAGTTCCTGTTCATGCTGATGGAAAAGCCAGAGAAACTAATACTGAGTCGGAGACGAATTGCGCCCCCGAACTATTCGGCGCCCCCGAACTTTTGGTGCCTGACAGTATGGATGTGGATGCACCACCTGGGTTTGCTATTGTCACGAAGGAGAAGAATCTAGATGATGTTGATGATGAAGATCCTGACGTGCCTCCAGGATTTGGCTGATCGCTTATTAATTTATTATACTTCTAGTTATATTTTTTGGAAAAGGTTAGCCGATTCAGTTGGTCATTGTCGTATCAAGTTCAAACAGCTCGTGTTGACACTTACAGAGAGTACTTTACGTTGACTGCGCCGGCTAGCAGCTCATGACTTCTCTTTCTTCAATTTCCCAAGGTTAGAAGCCTTAACTATGTCACTTGTGTATGATCTTGGATTAAAGATTAGTAAGAGGCTTCAAGTATGAGCGTTGTAGATGACATGATGTCTTGGTGTACGATCTAGTATAAACTAAGTTAATTTGTTGGTTCTCCAGATGTTAACTTTAATATTACTTCCTAACCTGTACAAAGACCACCTTTTTTGCCTTTGCGTTTTGCCTTTTAAATGTTATTTCTTTAGCTGGGTTTGTTTTTTCCAAAATTTCTAGGAATTGATGCTGTGGATTGGACGAAGGAAAAATTAGTTGCTCACACCAATTGGCAAGAAGGTATCCTTTGTAAATGCATTTGCGTGATTTATTAAGCAATTTATTTTTTCCTCTTGGTTAAAAAGATACTGCATTATGCCCCGGTGAGGTGCCACTTTTCTCTTACGGATAATTATACTAGATATGGCACAAATACTATTCTTGCACTTGTCTCCTGTGATAGTCCGAAACATTTACACAGTAAATCTTTGTAGGAGCAATGTATGTTAAAGCTGCATTGTTAAACTTAGAGAGAACACTTCTATTTACTTAATAATATCGCCGACATGCTACGTGAGAGCTTGATTCTTTTTGATGGTCCAAGGACATGGAAGTTCTTTGATGAAGGGTGGCAGTGAGATTTAAACTTAAAGACCTCTATGTGTTTTGGTACAAATTGTGTGACCGCCTCATGTCTTAAAAGCTTAAACTGTCGGAAAGGACACACTTCTGGTTACTTAATTATATCATTCAGTATATACTTTCTCTTTTGTTCTGTTCCTTGCTACATGAGGTGATGACATTTTATTGACTAATTAAGTCTATGGATATGCAGGTATATAACACTAACTTTAGGTACAGGATGTGTTATTTATTGTTTTTAGAAATTCAATCATGATGGTTGGAATTCGAAATTTGGTTCGTTTGTCTGAACACTCTTGTAATATGATTCGATTTTTTGCGGCATGGAAAGTTAGGCTTTTTCGAAGGTCTATCGGAAACAGCCTCTCTACCCCTACAAGGTTCTACCCCTACAAGGTAGGGGTAAGGTCTGCGTACACACTACTCTCCCCCGACTCCACTTGTGTGATTACGGTGGGTATGTTGCCGTTGGAAAGTTAGGCTTTTGCAATTACTTGATCTATTTTTAGTTTTGGCAGTTTCATTAAAGCATTGTATTACCATTTTAGTTGTTAATGAAATAACTGTCATTTAATTGTGTTACTAGGTGTATTTTTCTCATGTGGAACTAGTCAGCTTAGCACTATACCTAGATTTACTCAATTTTGAAATGTTACAAATTTCAGACTAAAATAAAACAAATTATTATGAAATTAAATGTAACCTGATCTAATATACTGCTTTCTCATCCAAACTGCTTTTAGTCTTTCAAGATTATGAATACTGTGTTAGCATTCAAATTATAACAATTCCAATTCCAATCTATGAGGAAAATCTATAAAAAACAGGTACCATCACTGCATTGCGTCAATCAAGCACTTCAAAATATTATTTCTTATATTCAGAAGGAGAATGTCAGCATCAAGACTTAGACTGATTTGAACTCTAGTCATTTCGGCCAAGGTATGTTTTAGCGGTCAATGAAACAGGATGCTACCTTCTCCGGACCCTACTAAGTGGGATTATACTGGGTTGTTGTTGTTGTTGGTCAATGAAACAGGAGAGGTCATTGGAGATTAGAGTTCAAATCAGTCTAAGTCTTGATGGACAAGAGTTACCCGATAGGTGCGTCGGTGGGAATAGTTGTATTGGTGGTAGTAGCAGATGCACGATGAATTAGTTGAGGTACGATACAAACTTTTCCCGACACCATCCTTATCCGGAAAAGGGAGGTTGATGCGTGATAGAAAGGGTCAAGAAAAAGACTAACGAGGATCTTGGAGGATGGATTTATTTCAATTTAGATGGATATTTTAACTTTTCATTACTGCTGTGGTTATGGTTATCTTAGTCGAGAGTCTATCAGAAACAATCGCACACACTATCCTCCTTAAACTCTATCTGTAATATTATATTGAGTTTGTTGTTGTTGTACGTAACACTTTAACATGTTTGCTCTAGTGGGAATTCAAAAGAGTTTAGTATTTAATAGGATATAGGGCATGCCAATAATAACAGAGACCAACTCCTACATCAAATAAGTAAATAAAGTAATATCCACATGGTCCATGTCTTATATACAAAGAAATTAAAGTACCCAACTTTATATAGTTATTATAATATGAAGAGAAGAAAGCATGCTGAATTAGCCTTGCCTTATTTAGTGCCATTATTAACTTCTTTTTTTTCTGACGCAGGTACGTAACTTTATACACTACAACTTCATAAAAATAAAAAAATAAGCTTAAAGGTAAACCACTTTCAATTAGAAAAAGAAAAAGTAGAGTCATTTCCTTCTTATTTAATATCAACGCAACATTCTAAAGATTTCATCTTAAAAAGGATTTTCCTTAGATCCAACTCTTCCACAATTCGATGAGGTCAAATTAGGCTGGCCATAAACACAATACAGGTTAGCACATTGAGAGAGGGCAGCCCAGTGCACTAAGCTTTTGTTATGCGTGAGATTCGGGAAAGGTCGGACTTAGGGGTGTACATAAGCCGGGTTGGTTCGGATTTTACAATTATCAAACCAAACTAATTGTGTCGGGTTATTAAATCTAAAGACCAAACCAAACCAATAAAGCTCGGGTTTTTCAATCTCGTTTTCTCTCGGATTTTCGGGTTATTCGGATTTTTTCAGGTTTTTTTTCCCGGTAAAATCTTCGTAGAACAAAACATATAATGTATGCTCAAAATATTTCTTTAATCCTAGTAAGATACAATTATATAAAGTATTTTCCAAAAATAATACAAAATATGAGATGTGTCGTGGCATTATCCTAAAATATTCAACAATAAAGATAATAAAATTATGTAATATAAATATTGCTAATTAAAAAGCCATAATAAAAATAAACATAATCTAAAAGTACCAAGTCATGCTAAAATAAATAGACTAATAAGGGAGTATTAATTACATGATTAAACGCTAAAGAAAAATAGAAATAGGTTATGCATTTTTATCTAAATTATTGCAAAACAAAAAAGAGATATTCAATACATTCCCGTTCGTAATATTAAATTGAATGTCTTTTGTTAGCATTAGTATTGATTTGATTTTAGTTTGGGCTTTTGTTTGCATTATTTAATTTACTAATATTAATGGCTAAGCAGTCAAAAGTTCTAAGTCCAATCTTGAAATAATACCTTAAAAGATAAAATTATGAATTTTTTTAAGAAATATTTATAAATTACATCACAATAAGTATATTTATATATTAAATATATCTAAAATTTCTATATATATAATATCGGGTTGGTTTGGTTTCGGTTTGACTTTCTTTAGTTAAAACCAAACCAAACCAATTATGGTCGGGTTTTTTTTCCAGCACAAACCAAATCAAACCAAACCATAGTCGGATTTTTTTTCTCGGTTTGACTGGGATTATCGGGTTGGTGCGATTTGTCGGTTTCTTTTGTACACCCCTAGTCGGACCACAATGGTCTATTGTATACAACCTTACATTGTATTTCTGCAAGAGTCTGTTTTCACGTTTCGAACCTGTAACCTCCTGGTCATATGGTAGCAACTTTACCAATTATGCCAAGGCTCCCCTACGGGTTAGCACACTACTCTGCAAAAATCAATCCCAATGATTCTCTCTTCAATTAAGTGAATTTCACATGGAGTTTAAATTACTTATACTTATAGTGTAAATTTCTTTTTACACTATCAAATCATTTAAAAGATAACTGGAAAATAAAGTCGACCAGTCTATTGCAACATCTTAAATTAAACAGTATGGTGTAAGGGTGTACAAACCGAATCGAAAAATCACATCAACCCAAAAAACCAAAGCAAACCAATTAAAAACCCGACTAGGTTTGGTATTGAGTAAAAAAACTCGAACCAAACCGACATATAAATATATAATGTTTATATATACTTTTAAGGTTTTATAATAGAATTTTATTTAAAAAATCTCGAGAAATATTTGAGATTGTCTTGCGAGATATAATATTTAAGAGTATATGAAGTGCTCCATATTTATTAACCTTAAATAATGGGTTGTATGATCATTTTCTCATCAAGTGTTACTGGAATGCGTTTATCTCTGTGTTCGTCCATATTCATATCATATGTTAAGATCTACTAAATTGTTATATCTTTTTTGAATGTGAAGTGATTATTATTATTTAGGTATCATATTGATTTTTATATTTAATTACTAAATCCGGTAAACCTTGAAAGTGTACAGAACGAGATATTATTGTCAGACGACTAAAAGAATAACTATTATGTGTTACTAAGAAAATTCTCTCATAAGAATATTTTAATAGAAATATGTTTGTCAATTTCTTATATTTTTACTAAACATATAATTATTTATAAAAAATTTAACAAAGTAAGATTGAAATAATATTTAACTAACAAAAAATTCGAAAAACTCGAAAAATTCAACAAAATCGAACCAATCCTAACCGACAAAATCAAACCAATCCGGTTCATATAATAGTATAGTGTATGTAAGCAAAATCCTTTCATATGCGCTCTAACAGTCTAACTACTAAGCGAATGATAAGAATTTCAAATTTCACTCCTGAAGCGATTTTATAAATAAAAAAGAAGAGTGTTAATATTAGAAAATTTATTAATATCTTATGCAGCATGTCTGCCAAAACTAACCAAAAATCAAATATTCAAGTTGAAACTGTCACCCTTCACGGAATAATGCAAATTCAAATATAATAACAATTTCAATCTTGTTAGTAAAATTCTGGTCATCCCAAGAGGACAAATAAGAGAAATCAAGTTTTGGCGTAGGGTCATTATGAATAATCAATTATAGTAAAGATCTACCTCAAACGAGATAGGGGTAAGATTAACGTGTACCCACCCTCCCCAGACTCCACTTATGGGATTATACTGTATATGTTGTTGCAATAAAGATTTCAAATAAAATCGTGTTATGAAACAATAAAAGTAGAAGAACAATATTGCAGAGAGAGAGAGAGAGGAAATTCTTATTGAATTTTGGGATGATTTACAATGGGGTAAGACCCTTCTATTTATAGGGGAAAAATGACTTAACCACAAAGTAAAACTCTCTACAAGATAGACATTCACTCTAAATAGAATTATATTCATAACACTCCCTTTTGAATGTCTACTCGATAAGTAATGTGCCTCATTAAAATCTTAACTAAATTAAAACCCAATGGGAAAAAATTCTAGAAAAGGAAAAAGAGTACACATATCTAACTATACGCCCTTTGGTTGCCTCGTTAAAAACCTTGCAAGGAAAACCCAGTGGGACAAAACCTTGTAAGGAAAAAAGAGTGCAACGCGCATTAACTCCTCCAGATGAGAACATCAATTCACATCCTTGAGCCTTCGCATCCCAATCTTGTGTATTAGCTTCTTAAAGGTTGACGTCGGTAGAGACTTGGTGAACAAATCAACCATATTATCACTTGAACGAATCTGTTGCACATTGATATCACCATTCTTTTGAAGATCATGTGTGAAAAATAACTTTGGTGAAATGTGCTTTGTCCTATCTCCTTTTATGAATCCTCCATTCAATTGAGCCATGTATGCTGCATTGTCTTCATACAAAATCATGGGTAGTTTGTCACATCTCAAACCACATTTGTCTCGAATAAGATGTATTATAGACCTCAACCACACACACTCTCTGTTTGCTTCATGAATAACAATTATCTCGGCATGATTAGATGAAATAGCCACAATTGATTGCTTAGTCGATCGCCAAGATATGGCAGTGCATCCACAGGTAAACACATAACCTATTTGAGATCGAGCCTTGTGTGGATCAGATAAATACCCAGCATTGGCATAACCAACAAGATTAGGACTGCAATTATTGCCATAAAATAAGCCCATATCGGTAGTCCCTTTTAAATACAACAATATGTGTTTGATTCCATTCCAGTGTCTTCTTGTGGGAGTAGAACTATATCTTGCTAAGACATTAACTGAAAAAGTTATGTCAGGCCTTGTAGTATTAGCAAGATACATTAGTGCACCAATTGCACTAAGATATGGTACTTCAGGACCAAGTAGCTATTTCATTCTTTTTTTGAGGTCGGAATGGATCCTTATTCACATCAAGTGGTCGAACAAACATCAGAGTACTTAATGGATGTGCTGCATCCATATAAAACCGTTTCAATACCTTTTCTATATAGGCAGATTGATGAACAAAAATTCCGTTTGCCAAATGTTCGATTTGCAAACCAAGACATAATTTTGTCTTTCCGAGATCGTTCATCTCGAATTTCTTCTTTAAATAATCAATTGCCTTTTAGAGTTCTATAGGAGTTCCAATAAGGTTTATGTCATCAACATATACGGCAAGTACAACAAATTCCAATGTTGTTTTCTTTATAAAAACACATGGGCAAATGACATCATTTATATAGCCTTCATTTAATAAATACTCCCTAAGACGATTATACCACATTCGTCCTGATTGCTTTAGACCATACAACGATCTTTGCAATTTGANCTGTCTCCGCCACTGGCGCTCCATACTCAAAGGCGATTCTATACTCAAGACTCGAAGCTGAAACCTCTGATTAAGGATAAAAGAGTACTTGCTACTCCACCGCAACTTTATCCAAAAAGAAAAGATAAGCTTAAAGGTAAACCACTTTCATTTAGAAAAAGAAAAAGTAGAGTGATCTATTTTTTTCTTTTAATCCCAATGGACCATTAGAAGTAGTAGATAAAGATTAATGCTCAATTATGCATTAATTCCAAGAAAGTTGTGATCGGCTATATAAATTTTTATTGTCTACGTCGCTCCATATATTGTGAAGAGATCAAAATTGGCTGGCTGCAAACATAATACAGGTTTGTAGATGGTGATTAAGAATAATCAATTATATAGGAAAGAGTTCAACAATACTTGTTTACATCAGTGTCTTTTTCTTTTCCTGCTTTACTTGAGTCTTCCATTAACTTTGTTTGTTCTTCTCATAATGGTATTCATTTTTCAACACAATAATGATATAATCAACATGAGGTGCTTTATGTGAATTAATAATTGAAAAAATCTTCCAGAGTGTTGACTGTTGAATCAGTCAAAATTAAAGGGCCAAAGCACTATATATACTACTAGTTATTTAAAGAATTTCAAGTATCAACTGTACTTCAGAACAACAAGAAATTAGAGTTCTTTTAGCCCATTGCAGCCATGAAATTCTTGAAAATCTTTCTTCTTTTTTGCATGGTTAGCTATTTTCCATGGCCAACTATTCAGAGCCCTTTAGATACTTATATAGTTCAAGTTGAATCACAAGAAAGCCAAATTTCCACTCAATCTTTATCAGATCAGGATCTTGAGAGCTGGTACCGATCTTTTTTGCCAAATACGATAGCAATCACACGCTCAAATGACGAAGAAGGACCACGTTTAGTGTATTCATATCGCAACGTGATGAAAGGCTTTGCAGCAAGATTATCAGCAGAGCATGTTAAAGAAATGGAGAAGAAACCAGGCTTTGTATCTGCATGGCCTGAGAGGATAATGTCTTTACACACTACCCATACTCCAAGTTTTCTTGGATTGCAGCAGCATATGGGCTTATGGAAAGATTCAAACTATGGAAATGGTGTGATCATTGGAGTCTTGGACACTGGCATTTCGCCTGACCATCCTTCATTTAGCGACGAAGGGATGCTTCCTCCGCCTGCTAAGTGGAAGGGCAAGTGTGAATCAAATTTCACTACAAAGTGTAACAACAAGCTCATTGGTGCGAGGTCCTACATACAAGAAGATCGCTCGCCAATAGATGATGATGGACATGGCACCCACACAGCCAGCACTGCTGCTGGAGGTTTTGTGCAAGGTGCCAATGTATATGGGAATGCTAAAGGTACTGCAGTTGGGGTTGCCCCTCTTGCACACTTGGCTATTTATAAGGTTTGTGACTCTTCTGGTTGCGCTGACAGTGAAATTTTAGCTGCCATGGATGCAGCTATTGATGATGGTGTCGATATCCTGTCCCTTTCCCTTGGTGGATTTAGTAGTCCCTTGCATAGTGATCCCATTGCACTCGGTGCATATAGTGCGACAGAAAGAGGCATTCTTGTAAGTTGTTCTGCCGGCAATGAAGGTCCATACAATAGCTCTACTTCAAATGAAGCCCCATGGATTCTGACAGTAGNCATAATCTACCACTATATCCACTCGATTTAACTTTATCTCAATATCGATTGGATTTATTGATAGTTCCTTATTTTCTTGAGCCTCGGGCTTAGTGGATTCCTCATGAATCTTAGAATTTATTAAATCGTGGATTTCTTCATGAGGTTCTTTCGTAGTGTCATTTTGATAATTTATTTTCCTTTTTCTAGAATTTCGATCTTTAGAACCTAATGGTCTACCACGTTTTAGGCGTGCTTTTGACTCATTAGCTATGACACTAGAAGATTGTCCAACAGGGACATCAATACGGATTGGAACATTCTCTACAGGGATATGTGATTTTATTATCCTTTTCAAATCCGTAAATGCATCTGGCATTTGATTTGCTATTCTCTGCAAATGGATAATCTTTTGCATCTCTTTTTCACAAATAGAGGCACGTGGATCAAGATGAGATAATGATGGATTTTTTCGCAAAATTTCCCGTTTGGTTTCACCAACTTCTCCCCTAATTTTGGGAAAAGTGTCTCATCTAATCGACAGTCTGCAAATCGAGTAGTGAATAAATCCCCCGTTAATGTTTCAAGATAGCGAATAATGGAGGGCGATTCAAACCCAATATATATTCCTAACCTTCTTTGCGGACCCATTTTGGTGCGATATGGCGGTGCTACAGGCACATATACTGCGCATCCAAAAATTCTTAAATGGGATATATTAGGTTCATGACCCAAAACTAATTGCAACGGGGAATATTTATGATAATTTGTCGGTTTGAGACGAACTAGCATTGCTGCATGCAAAATGGCGTGACCCCAAACAGAAGTGGGCAACCTCGTTTTCATGAGTAATGGTCTTGCTATCAAGTATAGATGTTTAATTAAAGACTCTGCAAGACCATTTTGAGTGTGAACATAAGCTACAGGATGCTCCACTTTTATCCCAATTGATAAGCAATAATCGTTAAATGTTTGGGATGAAAACTCAGCAGCATTATCAAGTCTAATAGACTTAATTGGATTATCGGGAAATTGTGCCCCTAATCGAATTATTTGTGCCATTTACTTTGCAAGCGCGAGATTGCGAGATGACAATAGGTACACATGAGACCATCTAGAAGATGCGTCTATTAAGACCATAAAATATCTAAACGACCCATTAGGTGGGTGAATAGGTCCACAAATATCCCCTTGTATACGTTCCAAAAATACAGGGGACTCAATTCCAACTTTTGTTGGTGATGGTCTAATAATTAACTTGCCTTGATAACAAGAACTGCAAGAAAATTCATTATTTAAAAGAATTTTTAAATTCTTTAATGAATGCCCATTTGAGTTTTCTATAATTCGTCTCATCATAATTGATCCAAGGTGTCCCAATCGATCATACCAAAGTACAAAAGTATTGGAATCAACAACCTTTTGGTTTACGGTAGAATGTGCCTCAATTGCACTAATTCTTGTCCAATACAAGCCACAAGATAAAGATTGGAACTTCTCAATAACCCGCTTTTGTCCAGAGACATTTTTTTTAATGATGAGATATTCAAGATTATTCTCATCTATTGTCTCAATATGATATCCATTTTGACGGATATATTTAAAACTCAACAAGTTCCTCTTGGACTTGGAGGAGAACATTGCATTCTCTATGATAAGTATTGTTCCTTTAGGCAGAGTTATAGTAGCTCTTCCAGAGCCTTCAATTAATTTACTACTACCAGAAATTATAGTAACATCTGCCTTACACATATTTAAATGAGAGAAATATTTCTTCTATTTGAATATTGTATGTGTCGTACATGAATCAACTAAGCATATATTTTTTATTAGAATTAAATACCATACATCTAAATAATACGATTAACACAGTGTGAAATTGCAATTGTGGAAGAAAAGAAAATAATCTAATTTAAAAATTAGTTTTCCGAGCACACATTGTATAAAACAAATATTAAACAAAGAGAGAATTGGATAAGCTAACTGTCATTATACAATAACATAGAAACAAAGATAACCATACTTGCCTGTCTATTATTCTGACCACATGGACGTGATCGCTCGTGACTTCAATCATATACATACATTGTCCAATTCAACTCTGAATTTTACTTTCTGTTTTAACTCCACGTTAAGAAATCGATAGATGTGCAACAAAAGCAAATTTTCATGAAGAGAGTTTGTTAAAGGGAGACTACATATAAGAGTAAATACTTTAAAACACTCAATTGATTGTATAAAACAAATATTAGAACTCTATTTAATCAATACAAACTAACACATTTCAAAAATTAAATAATACTAACTAATACTAATGACTACTACTTATGTAAAGAACTATAATTACATGATTTTTATTCATTAACTACTACGAACATGCACAAATAAAAATTGAACTACTCAATCATCTTTAACCACGGATCCATCACCGAACAAGTGGTCTATTTTTCCATCAGGACGCTCAAAGAAGTTTGTCACATCCAAGTGGGTGATGTCAAAATCATTGTCAGAGACAAAATTGGCTTCAGGGCCTTTATTCTTTAGAGATGCTTGATAAAGCTCAACCAAATATCTTGGTATACGACAAATATTTTCTCAATGCCTTTTTCCACCGCAACGATAGCATTCAGTTTCTGAACCATTTGCTTTTGGCTCCTCATCTTTCCCTTTCCACTTTTGGTGGTTATTTCTCTTTGGGGGATGATTAACACCAGGAGAATTTCTTCCTTGTCTACGACCACAGCCACTACCACGACCACGACCACGAATTGAGTCACGGCCTTTTCCACGCTTAGCATAATGGGAATACACACCTCATCCACTTCAAGCAATGGTGTAGATCCAGTGGGTCGATTTTCGTGATTTCTCATGAGCAAGTCGTTATTTCGCTCAGCCACAAGGAGAAGAGAAATCAACTCAGAGTACTTGTTGAAACCTTGCTCTCTGTATTGCTATTGCAAGACCATATTGGAGGCATGAAACATTGTGAACGTTTTTTCAAGCATATCATAATCAGTGATAGTATCTCCACAAATGTTTCAATTTAGAAGTAATTCTGAACATTGCAGAATTATATTCAGAAATAGACTTAAAGTCTTGGAGCCTCAGATGAGCCCAATCATATCGTGGTTGTGGAAGAGTGACCAACTTTAAGTTGTCATATCTTTCCTTTAAGCCATTCCACAAACAAGTGGATCTTTGACCGTGAGATATTCTATTTTCAACCCTTCATCAAGGTGATGACGCGAGAAAATCAAGGCCTTAGCACAGTCTTGGGTGGATGCTTTAGTTTTGTCTTTAATGGCGTCTCCAATACCCATTGCATCTAAATGGATTTCAGCATCCAACACCCATGTCATATAGTTCTTGCCCGAAATTTCAAGGGCAACGAACTTTCTTTTCATAATGTTAGTCATAATTAAAAAGAGGAGAAAAGTTATACCTTAATCTTCTCAAAGAGCTTCTTGAGACGATAGAGTCTCGTGCTGATAACGTGTTATGAAACAATAAAAGTAGAAGAACAATATTGCAGAGAAAGAGAGAGAAGAAATTCTTATTGAATTTTGGGATGATTTACAATGGGGTAAGACCCCTCTATTTATAGGGGAAAAATGACTTAGCCACAAAGTAAAACTCTCTACAAGATAGACATTCACTCTAAATAGAATTCTATTCATTACAAATCGTATTTTTTTTAATTCTTTTTTTTTAAATTACATCAGGGAAGGGAGAGGGGGGAAAGCTGTTAGGCTTAGCAGACCAGACCCAACTTGAAGCTTACTTTTTGTCTTCTTAATTGTGACCTAAATTAAGAAGAGGAGATGTGTGTTCTAGTGGTTAATGAAGTGGCAAAATTATGAAAGATTAGCCGAAACAAAATATAGTAATAGACGATTCTTCTCAATTTATCTAAATTTTGGTGGACAAAGTAACGTAATACCTTTGTTGGTGAAAAATAACATGTGTCTCGGAGACTAGTCGAGACGCTTTGATGGACAAAGTTAGACGCGACCCGAGCACTACTTTATGATCCCAAAAGAAAAAGGAAACAAGAGGTTGACGCTGGAAAAAAGAGTCAAGAATGAAAGAAACATAAAGAGTAGTGAGGTTCTTGGAATTCAAAAGAGTTAAGCATGCCAATAATGACACAGGCCAACTCCAACTTTTAATAAGTGAACAAAATAATATCCACATGGTACATGTTATTTACAGAGAAATTAAAGTTCCCAACTTAGATCGTTATAATATGCATAGAAAGGGAAAGCATGGCTGAATTGTCCTGGTCCTTCATTTCTTTTAGTGCCATTACCACCTCTTTTTGACATAGTGAATAACTTCACCTTTTTCTTTTGGTTTCCACATATCTGCTATGGGGTTCGACTAATGGGTCTTTGTGACCGGACGTCCTACTTTGTGGGTGCCCGTAAAAGCAGTGGCGGAGCCACCTTATAGGAAAGATATTAAATGACACCTCTTCGCGGGAAAAATACACTGTGTAGGTAGGTAAAAAAATGTTTATATGTATATATACTATGTGTTGACTCCCCTTAATTTTCTGGTATGTTTACTTTTATATATTTTGACACCTTTAATAAAAATTCTGTTGGGAATAAACCCCTTACCAAAATAATATTCACGGTAATAAAGCGGAATAATAATGTAGCACCGAGATACGGTAATTAACAAGAATAAAAGAGTAACAATGACACCAAGATTTTTACGTGGAAAACCCTTCTGAATAAGGGAAAAAAAACCACGACCCCGAGAGGAGCAACTGATATCACTATAGTAAGGAATTTTACACTTTGTAGGTCGGAGGTAAATACTCCAAAGACCACTACAACACTCAAAAGAAATAACCCTCTTTTGATATTCCCACCTCACTACAATATCGCTC